TTTGGTGTAGTGTATGAGGTATAAATTAACGAAAGAAAAGAAACACAAGCATCCAGACAAATAAAATGGGGTGCTTTCCCCCCACTACCACTAACTAATTTGTGGTTGCAAAAAAATTGTCCCAAGTGTTAAGTCTATTTCCAGAAAGACTCAAGTCTTTAAATCTTGTTTGATAGTACCAATATTTGTTTTGTCCAATTTTGGCTAGTCACTTCTAACAACTTGTTCGAGGACGGAGAAGACTTAATAAAAATAATACTCCCTATGTCATAATTTTCTCTAGATGTTGTGTTCATTTCGTAGGTCATTAACTGTCACTACAGTGTGTGTTACGCAAGATGATGCATGTGAAAATTGGTCCCATTATATATGTGGAAAGAAATTCTGCAGAACTTGTAAGAAATTTCCAATGACAGAAACTATTGCTTGACTAAGTCAAGTGAAGGAAAAAAATGAACAATAATTGAAGACATGATTTAAGTCCTCCATCTACTTATAGTATGTAACAACAAAACAATAATACCGTGTGGAATTTTATTTTTGTTCTTTTATTCAGAATTTTGTTTGATATGATCCTGCATAATTAGTATGTTTTGAATAACTTGGTGAAGATCATTTCACCTGCTGAGAAATTTCCGATTAGTTGCGTTGTCTCTTGTGCTGTTTTCCACAAAAAATTTTACTCGGGTCATAATAAACGTGACAGTAGGTATAATTTTACTTACCAAACACACCACAAATTTTACAACAGTAAGACCTCCTAGACTAGTTGTTTGTAACGACTGGTTTGCGCCTTATTCTTTAGGTCTAGTTTGTCGTTGAATGATGTGATGTCTTTAGGCGTTCAATATACATCTTAACAAAAGTGTTTTGCAAGTGAAACAGTGTAATAACAACAACATAGTCGGTGTAATCCCATAAGTGGAGTCTGGGGAGGGTTGTGTGTACCTTGAGAAAATATCATCTGTTTTGTCTCTATGTAGGCAAATTCAGAAGAATATGTTTTTCCCCATATATGCTTATTTGTACCTAAGCTAACTTCAATTCAGTAGTCGAAGCAAATGCTAAAAATAATTCAGAGGTATCTAACAGATGCAAATAACAAAGAGAAACTTCAGACAAAGTAAAAGAACAATATTCATGGGATTATTCCAACATTACTTATTAGAGTAATTATTTATAAAGTATATTACTTGACAAGTTGGCCCCATCAATCTTCCATGAAGTCCGTTTTTTGTCTTTGCGCTCTCTTCTTTGGCCTTCTATTTTCGCGAGGCACGTTGGCATCAAAAAGTTCCACAACCCATTTTGGTTTACGGTATTTAAACATGAGACTCCAAATGACAGTTCCAACAACTAGTCCAAAACTGTAGCCTAAGACTACAGATTCCCACGTAAATCCATTTAAGGAATATGACTCATCTTCATCTTCTTCGTACTCTAATGGTTGAGGAACATGTGTAACGAACCCAAATCCTCACTATATTAATAAGAGCACTGGAACACTAGTACAACCTTAAGATTCTAATTGCAATATTCAAACTACCGAATTACAATGGAAATATTGAAATAACAAGAATTAAAGATATAGAGAAAAATGGAGATGAGAAGTTTAGACTCTAGAAGAAGAGGAGAGGACAAACATTTTCTCCAATATGCATAATTCCTGAATCACATTGCACTACCCTTTTTGATGGAGTCGTTTCCATGCCCACTACTCAATCCGGATCCCAAATTAACCTAGCCCTATTGCTTGTTCTCGGCCCAATAGCTCTTGTCAGACCAATAACTACTTGTATGATGTTGGGCTGAACTTCGTTCATAACAATACTCTCGTCCTCAATAAGAACCTTGTCCGCAAGGTTTGAGTAAAGAAATCCCCCAACAAAAGACAGTGATAAGCTAGATGTAGCTACTGAAACTTCCACAAGTACAAAGGCCACTGGTTGGCAGGTCCAAAATGGATAATCAAGAAGAAATCAGTACGTAGTCCAAATGTTGTTCACATAGCCTTCAATAATGGGCAAGAATGATATGTACTTTTCTGGTGCAAGTACTATTCCTTTCGCAGCATTGCAGACCATCTAGTTTAGGGACTTTACTCCGAAGAGCGATAACATTCTCATCTTCGTCTGATCCCTCAGTGGTCAATTCAAATAGAGTGTCCATGTAAGGTTCAAGCAACTCATAATATGTCGATGTCAATAGTAGAAAGCAGAGCTTTGTATTTCGTTGTCCTGTTGACTTCTGCAGAGGTCGCATATAAGACTTGAGTAATCCGCCCCCGCACCGTAACTATAAAATTTTGCAATTGGCTTATCGGTTGTGGTTCCATTTTGAACCATTGAGTCAGATTTTCAGTTATTATCCCTTGAACTTTTCCACTTTGTATAATAACTATAATGCAATAGGACATATAGTTATGCTAAATGTATGGTTCCAGGTAAAATTGAACCAAGGGTTTCGGATTCGAAAATAACACGTACAATTATAGTGCTATCAAGTATATACAAACAACAAACAAGAAATTAAAAAGAGAAAAAACAGAAAAGTTCACTGTTGCAATCTTCCATTAAGTCCGTCGTTTCTGAGCTCTCTTCTTTGGTCTTCTCATTTTCTTGGGAAAAATGCCTTCAAAAAGTTCCACAAACCATATAGAAAATATACTAAATTGAGTGTTTTCAGTTGAAAATATTATAGCAATTTAACATTAGTATAGATGGATACATAAAAATTTGAACTCCTATTTTAAGTCATTCTTGTCTAACTTTCCATCAACATCTCTTCTTCTGTTTTCCACAATACATTTCAAAGAGAGAAACTATGTATGACTAAGTCAATTGAGAAAAAAATAATAATAAATGAACAATAAAGACATGATGTTACTCCATTTCATCTTCCATAAGACAAGAAGGGATACTTTAATCAACCGAAACCAAGTTGTATGAATGCAGTAAATTTTAGTGCATTTTTTTACGAAATCTATATAATCATAAAAAGTCAAGACATGTCAATTTTCTGCAATTAACCCTCTTTGTATATGTCTCTAAAGTCTTTAGCAACATTGGATCTAATAATACTTAATCAATGCCGGTAAAATCTTTAACACTCTTTATTAATGTGTATATTTATTGCCGCTAAAAGTTGTTTTTGTTGTAGTGATTGTAATTTAAAGAATACACCAAAAAAACAAATTGATCTTTTTATTAACACCCAACAATATATTTTGTATAATGCAAAAGGTTTTACCGTTTAGTAGACTTTAGATTATTTAATAATGAAAGAATAAAAATAAAAAAAAGAATAAAAAAGATAAACGTAAAAATAATAATGCGGATTCATGATAATTACCA